TCTGCAAGTAATTTTTCCATCATCTGTTCAAGGCGATCTATGGATTCTTTTAGATTGGAGACTTCTTCCTTTGATGCAAACAGACCATCGCACATAACGCCGGCAACGGAACCAATGTTACGGGCAGCTTGTGTGCAAGATCTTGTCACAGGCATGACAGGCCTTCGGGTGAGGGGGAGGGTAGACTGAGCTTTGGAAGGGTTGGCTATGTTTGCTGTTTGGCAGAAAACAATTATGCAAACTTTTGTCACAAGTTAGAATTTTTTTATTGAGAATTCACTTTACTTGCTAAAAACTTGCATGCCTTTTCCCTGCATTCAACAGGCCTTTAAATAGGCTTTACAGAGTTTGGAAAATAAAATAAAGAAAACAACTAAAAAGAAAACAATAATTCAAAGATTGCAATCGGAAAATAATATCTCAGATCTCTAAGGATCTCAAATCCCTGTCTGTGACATGTCAATCAGATTTGTCTGATTTATTTGTCTCCCAGATTTGTTTGGTTTTATTTGTCTTCCAAATCAGTCTGATTTGTCTCTGTGATTTGCTGATTTTTATCTTTCTTTCTTTTACGGTGATATTGACGCCCTATGAATGCATCAGATCCCCTCTGTAATGGAGGCTCTCAGCATCAAATTATCATCTTGTCTTTCATCTGATCGCCTGTTCACCCGAACACTATGGGACAAGTGCTAGCATCATCCAACAATTGTTCTCTGCATAAATAAACATATGCATTTCCTTTTGTGATGTATGTAATCATTAAAGAAGAATACAAACGAAAGTGTTAGTTGGTGTACACCTAAAGTGGGGGCTGACATAAGCTACTTTTTAGAGTGATCTTCAAGTCTTAGTGTGTCTGTGCAGAGCAATGTGTGGCGCTGGGACTGTGGAGATCATTGGACCTATCACAGCAACTGTTGAAGACGCCATTCTTGTGTAAGATTCTATTGGTCCTGATTCTCAGTTTTATGTTATATTCTGTGTGCTTTATTTGATCGTTAGTCAAACATGATTGATTTGATTACTTGTATTGATCAGTTATGAAAAAATGGTCCTGTTTTCCTTTCTAAAATTGATATTCATCCATTCTAGAGTATCAATACAGAATGATCATCTTCTATATATAACTTACCCATCATTATTTGACATATAAATCAGTATTGTGTTCAATGTTGTAACAAATGCTATAATCAAACTGAGGCCTAGTGCATAAGTGGGGATTAATTGGGGTTAAGTGGGATCGAAGTGGAATTAGGTGGGAGTGTGGGACCTAAGACAGAAAATAACTTCATTGGCCAAGGAGAGTGTAATGCTTAGGTGTGGACAGTGCCGCGAACTTGAGACTATGCGGAAATTTTTACAACAATGAACATATTTAATTTATATTTCATTAAATAGGAACTTACTCTCTTATACTGACAGTCTTATCCATTTTTTCAGGTATTCAGCAATATTAGGATCCTCTCCTGCAGATAGAATTTCTCTGAAACCGGTAATTGCCTTGAAATTGGTCACTTTCCGTTCGCTATATATATACAAAATTGCTCACTTTCTGTTCGCTATATGGAGACAAAATTGCTCACTTTCTGTTCGCTATATGGAGACACCAAATTGCTCACTTTCTGTTCGCTATATGGAGACACCAAATTGCTCACTTTCTGTTCGCTATATAGACAAATCTTTTATTTTCTTTACCCATATTTTTAATAGTTATGTAACTTATCTTTTTTTCTGGCATCATAATATAAATATCTGAACAAATTGTGCAACTCAATCCTCCCCGTCCCCTTCAATATTCCGGTAGAAATGCTAACAAGCAGCAGTGAATACTTGCAACTTATGTACAAGTTTTATGGACATACCTACTGCTACCCCAGATTGTGAATGCCCATTTCTAGAGTCTGCTCATTTGGCAGTAATCCTTTACCAACATTTTGATAATTTTGAACTTGGTTATGCTTATCATTATTGAAGTGTTTGTCCCATATCGACTAAATATCTAACAATTAACCAACATATAAGATTTTGAGTTACTTCATCAAGTTACCCTTTTAGTTTGGAAGCCCAATACTTAATATGGTATCAGAGTGGTCCAATTGTGCTACGTTTGTTTGGTTGACATCCATGATTTGGAGACTTGGAGTAGCCTGTTTGGGGTGTGGGGTTAGTTTAGCCTATTTATCCACCCATTAGTTTAGCCTATACAAATAACGATAGACGGATAAGCTATGAGGAATTTGCATCAGTGATGAAGGTGGGTACGGATTGGAGAAAAGCGTCACGGCAGTATTCTAGAGAGTGTTTTCAATAGTCTGAGCTTGAAGTTAATAGGGGATGGCTCCTTACAGCTCTCCAATGAGGACACAAGAATGAACAAGAAGATAGTCTAGTGTACACATTCCTATATTTTCACGTTTTTTATGAATTGTTGATTTACTAAATTGAATCAGTTGTTTCTACATTTCAAAATTTTCACCTGTGCATATAATTCCTCCAAAAAAGGTGTTCTAATGTGTTATACACTTAGGTTGCGGGTTGAAGTATTTATCTTAGAGCGACTAACTATAAAATAATAAACCAACATATAAGATTCTGGGCTTCTCCTCTCATAAGTTTAAAACTTTTAATCACTTTATTGTGTAGTTTAAGTCTTGAGAATATGATGGAATAAAGCAAAATGGCTCACTAAACTGTCTGCGCTTCTTTTTTATGAAGCAGCAGTCAGTCCATGCAATTTTGGACGCGATTTTCATTATGGGTCATCCGGAAACAGTCTCTCTGTGCTTTAGTACAGGGGTAAGACTGCGTACATCCGACCTCCCCCCCTACCCCACTGTAGGTGGGAGCCTTTGCGGCACTGGGGTAAATGAAAATGATTGTGTAGTTTTAAGTCTCATGTCCTTTATTTCAAAACAACACGGATCATTGTCAGATCCATTTGTCACTAAGACTGTTTAATTGATTATGTTGATGTCCTATGTCCATGTGAACCAGGTTTATCATATATTTTTATCCTTTGTTCATGTAAAAAATCATCCATATTTCTATCATACTATTCTACTTCTATGCTAGGGCCAACCTTGTGTACCTAATTTATCTTCAAATGAAAGTTTGGATGTTCTGGGATCAATGAGGTTGGGAAAGTATACAGAGGTAAACAACGTTCTTTTTGCTGAAGATGGTCATACATGTAATTTCAAATGATTATTTCATTTCAATGTTTAATTGCATTTGGGTTGTTGCTTCAGTGGTTTAATGATGTTTTCTCCCCTGAAATATCTGAAAAATGTGAGGGTGTCCTGCATCAACTGTCAAAAAAGTATGGGTGCAAAGTAAGTGTCTTGCATGGAGCGTCTACTTTCATGGACCTTTTTGGCTTTATCTTCTTGAAAACGACAATATTTACATGTTCTAATGCAACAACAAAACAACATCATCCAAGCCTTAATCCCAAAAGATTTATTTACATGTTCTAATGCAAATGAAAATTATTTTTGTGTTTTCCATTTGACTTTTATTTTTATTTTTACTGCATTCAAGGTGATAGAGATTGTAATACCAGAGCTGCATGAGATGCGGACTGCTCATATTGTTTCCATAGGCTCTGAATCACTGTGCTCTTTGAATCCTTACTTGGAGGGAGGGTGTGCTTATTCAACTTTATATATTAATCCACCAGCCTTAATGTGATTTCAGATGTATCTGTCAATTAATGCATGTTTCATCATCTTTTTTTATTAGGAAAGGAGCAAGATTGACACATGATACTCGAACCAATTTGGCACTTTTTCGGTCATTCACAGCATCAGATTATGTTGCTGCTCAGCGCCTTAGGTAAGGCATGCTTTATCATGCACTTAAGTTGTTCACTTTTTCATTCTCCATGCATTTTATGTGAATCTAACACTGCTTTAATATTATTTTAAAAACCTTAAGAATTGCTATTGAATATCCTGTTGTTGATGGTTGTCTATTGTGTTTGAGTTTAGTATGTGAGTGTGAGGTAGCCCCCCCCCCCCCCCCACCTAGTGAGATCCCTTTAGGCTGAGTTAGACCCAGCTCAACATGGATGCATGGCCACTCATGGATGCTAGTGCCGTGAGGTAAAGGTAACAAATGTTATTGTGTTACCTGAATACTTAATATTTGCTTAGTTGCATTCAAACAGCTCAATTGTAGTCCTTGATATTTGTTTGTTACTTTGTTGTGATAATGTGCTTTGAATTACTATGCAGAGTTCGCAAGCAAAATTCTCATTTATAATCAAAGATAAATAGCCATGATGAATTTGTTATGAATATTTTTATTTCAGGAGAAGGCTAATGTACTACCATATGGAGATATTTAAGAACGTGGATGTCATAGTAACTGCTACAACTGGGTATGTTAGTGGCCTGGTTTTCGGTTATGATAATTTATTATAGAATTAGATCTTTTCCTGATAGATTCATTAGATGTAAATCATGCAATGAATTAAGTCTGTCTCTAATTGAATTCTCAGTAAGATACTAAGAAAGTGTGCATTCTTTTCTTCAGCATGACAGCACCCATAATACCAGCAAGTGCTCTTGCTGTTGGAGAGTCAAATTTGCAAGTGTCAGGTTGACTTTTCCTTTTCTACTTCCAGGTTTAATTGGGATCATATATTCTAAAAACCACTGCACCCTCCTCTATTACACCCTCATGCTTGCCAAGTGTCTTAGATGACATCATTATGAAGCACTTGTCATGCATTGGTGATTTTGGAATAGAGGATGCATCAGTTTGTGGAAAGAGGGTCTCATTTATGTTTCGATTTGACCCTCCTTTATAAGTCTAGTCTAGTGCTTATATGCTGCCATGAGTAAAGTGCAAAAAGAACTGAAGGAAACGTGTTTCTCTACTCGTCAAGGTTGAAGCAAATATGTTCCGCCCCTTAAAGAGATACTTATGTAAATTATACGAGGATCAAGAAATAATTGTTCAGTTGGAATAATTAATTTCATATGCAATTGTGAAACGCACAGATGTGCCCTTTTGTGAAATTTTTTAATGAACAAAATGGAATTACTCTTATCTTAGTTTTTTTTTAAATAAGGGCAAACCTGAAAATGGGAAATCAAATGCACACCTGATCTACAGATTGGACAGTCTTTGGAAGATGGACCAAAATGTAATAAAGGTCATCTTTGTGGGACAGATGAAGTAATAGTCAAGCTCTTAGGAACTTGGGATTATTAGTATTCACATGCTTGCCTTTATGCTACTTTTAGTTATATATATGCTTAACTATTAATATTTAATAGTGCATGTTTCTTCAGGAAATCTCATGCGTTTCATTATAACCGCAAATCTTCTGGGGCTTCCAGCCATTTCTGTTCCTGTAAGTGAGAACATCATAGTGTATGAGGTTTATTTTGTGACCATAATCTTCTCAGGCATCAAACAGCTTTGATGGCAATATGTGGGATATATCGTTGAATGTTCAGATTGGTTACGACATGCAAGGACTACCTATAGGCATCCAACTCATAGGCCGACCTTGGTGTGAAGCTTCCATTTTACATTTGGCAGCTGCAATAGAGGTATTGTCTTCATTGCATCACACCTACATGAAAACAGACTACCATGATAAGGGGAGGTGACCAAGTTGGCAAGAAGGGGGTGGGTGCGTAAACATAGGTTGCATTGCCAACCAAAGTGTAACCCCTCCTGTTGTCATCCACATATTTTATAGGGTGGTGGATTTTAATATCTCTGATGTGATATGTGCGCCATTGTTTAACCAAGCATTCCAGCCCAGCTGGTTGTGAGGTTACCGTGCCTAGCGAAAGGTCTCGAGTTCGAAACCCGCTGGGCACATAAAGGGTTTGAAACTCAATGAAGTGAGCTTCAGCCCTGATTACTCCAGACCCCCTCCCCCAGACCCCCTGGAGTAAAAAAAAATGTGCGCCATTGTTTATATGAAGCAAGCTGATTGTGAGCTCCAGCTCAGTTTGTTTCTTTGGTAAAATGAGTCGAACTTGAGCTTGGTATGATGGTATGATGGCCAATTATAAACGAGTAGATAAGCCAGCTTGGATTGAGAACTTGAGTTAGGCTCGTATTCAAAGCATAATGGTGGTCACTTTGCTCCCATTGGGATTAACACTTCACTATATTAAGCTTGGGTTAAGCATAAAACGAGCGGCATCTGAGTGCCGATACATGCTCAAAGCCTTAGTAAGCTGAGCTCGACACTGCTCTATTAACAATACTAGGTCTATGGGTTCCTCTTCATTAAACAAAAGACCACAATTTTTTTGAAAGATGATGCCTTGTGTATTAAATAAATATTTGGTATGATGGCATGATGACCAATTATAAACGAGTAGACAAGCCATATTGGCTCGAGAACTTGACTTAGGGAGTGTTTGCAAAAACTTAAAAAAAATGCTTTTTTGCTTTTGGTTTTAAAAAAGTTGAAGTTAGTGGTTTCAAATGACAACTTCTGCTTAAATCAAACACTTAAAAAGCTAAAAGTTGGAAGCAAGTTGAAGGGTGCTTTAAACTGCTTTTCATTTTTTCTATTACATAAAAGCACTTATTTTATCAAACACTATCGGCTTTTGCTTTTTCAAAATCACATTTTTCTCAAACATTACCAAAAACTTTAACTATTAAGCACTTTTTCCAAAAACTTTGAAAAATTACTTTTTTTTAAGTAGAAGTAATTGCGAACACACCCTTAGGCTCATATTGAAGGCATAATTGTCACTTCGCAGTTCGCACCCGTTGGGTATTAAGCTTGGGTCTAGCATAAAACGAGCAATGTCTGAGTGCCGATACACACTCAAAGCCTTAGCGAGCTGAGCTCAAGCCAGCAGACTGGAAATAAGTTTGAGTGGAGTTTAAAATAGTGGTGATGGAGCTCGACACTGCTCTTTTAACAATACTAGGTCTGTTGGTCCGTCATTAAACAAAAAGAAAACCATTTTATGAAAGACGATGCCTTGTATTAAATAAATTAACACCGGACATGCTTTCTTTTTCAGGAGAATTGTTCATCCCCCAAGAGAAAGCCATTGCAATTCTATGACATACTCAAGGGAGGGAATTGAACTCCCTTACAAATAAGTTTTATGACAAGGGAGTATGCCGGCTGAAAATTTGTCGGCAGTGAACATTAAATTAACTTACAATGCGATGCCCTCACCTTGTTGGAACAATCTAGGATGTCAAAGACTTATAAGGTGATGTTTATCATTGTTATTACTTTTTTTTTGAAGAAATCTTTGTTATTTCTTGTTAAGTAGTAATAAAATACGGAGTATAATAATAGTAATAAATTTATAACAAAAAAATAATAGTAATAAATTTATACGGAGTATATAAATAGCATCTTGTGCATGACATATCTTTGGTAATGGCTTGTGGTGGTTCCATCAGCTGCAATGGCTGGAGTTGTATAACCGGTGTTTACATTGAAGTTTTTTTTACCAAAAAGGAAAAAAATTATTAACGAAGGAGAAAGAAAAGTACAATGGAGATGAATAACAAAAACAACAGAAAAAAGAAAGCATAACAAAAGAAGGATACATAGGGGTGTTTGGTAAATGGGCAAAATTATCAGTAAAAAAAAGGTGTTTTTCAAAAATAAAAGTAATGTTTATTTACAAAAACCCTAAACCCTAAACCCTAAACCCTAAACACTAAACCCTAAACCCTAAACCGTGTTTGGTAAATGGCGTTTCAGCCAAAAAATGGCGGTTTGACCACATTTGGCGTTTTTAATGAGTGAAAACGTTGTTTTGTAAATAGTGGTTTGGCACTAACGTTTTTGGACGGATCCGCTGAAATGAAAACGATGTAAATATGAGAGTTTTGGGTTAGCGTTTTGAAAAATGACGTTTTGTATTAGTTTTATGGCCAAACAGCTAAGTTACCAAACATCTTCTGAAAACCCGCCAATTTTATTTCGCTGGTCAAACCTTGAATCCGCCATTAACAACCCGCTAACCGCTAAATGCCAAACACACCCAACCCGAAGTAAAGCCCATCCCAAAGTGCAACTGAAGAGAACCTCCCTATAAGTAGGGATGGACTGGGATAGGTCGGCTCGACCCGGTCCCACCACTGTTTAGACCCAGCTCGGTCGGGCGGTACCGAGACCAGGATTGGGGCCCGAACTGGGTATAGGGGAGGGTGGGCTACGGGTTCAGAAAATAGGTGACCGGTCCGGGACCAATTCGGGCCCATTTTTTTTCCGCAATTAATAGGCTTCTTGGCGGGTAGGGCTGGGTGGTTTGGGGGTAGGAATAAATTTGACCGGCTCGGTCCCGGTAAAAACCCAGGCCGGTACCGGGCCTGCAACCCAAAATCCCAGTCCCGCCCAATCCTGTCCCGGAGCCTGGTCTGGCTTGGGCCCGATCCACCCTTGTTGTTGAAAGTTGTTGAAATACATACATGATTGTTGTTTATATTGAAGTTGTGATCTAAATAGTTTGATTTTATCATTAGTGTATTACTACTGTAAGATGGTTTGGTTGGATACTCGGAAGTGTAACTAATTAGATTCTCACACGTGCGATGCACGAGAAAAATTTAATTCAAATATCTTGTATTATTATTATTTGATTATAATAATTATACACATGGGTGGACTCGGGTCGGGCCGCCCGACCCGGAACCGGCCCGGCCCGGCACTGTTTGGGCCCGGTCCGGCCCGGCCCAGTACCCGATCTTGGGGCCGGTTCGGGCCAACCGGAACCGCTCTAATCCCGGTGCGGGCTCGGGTCCCTAAAATGCGAACCGGCCCGGTTCGGGCCTATTTTTTTTTTTTTTTTTTTTTTTTTTTTTTAGTTTTTTCAATTCTTTTTTGTTTCTACCGGGTTGGGCTGGGTGTTTTGGGGGGGTTTGGGGGGATGGGGGGGGGGGTCGGGGGTTGTTTAGAAAATCAAAAGAAAACAAAAAAATAACATTGAACCGGAACTGGCCCGGCCCGGCCCAGAACCGCCGGCTACCCGGGCCGGTTCCGGTTCCACAATTCCCAAATTAAAGCCCGGCCGGGCCCAAGCCCGAACCGGCCCTGGCCCGAACCGGAACCGGCCCGGGTCTATCCCTAATTATACATGATAAATTCATAACAAATGCAATGTGTAAATGCATTAAAAGAAAGTGTGAAAATGCATAATTATTAAGAATTAAAAAAGGGATTTTGACCTTAATATATTACTAAAAAGTAGATAAATGGCAAAAAATGACTATTTTTTTAAAGTTCCAAAAATGTGACTGGTATGCTTTCAACTTACTAAATTACCCCTAATTTGTAGTGACTTTATTTTATAGTTACAAGACCAGTCACAGTGACCCCCGCCACAGTGACATCCGTTGTCGTGATCACTCGCCCCGGCCAGTGACAAATGTCGGTTACTGCCGCCGCCGACCATAGTGACACCTCCACGTGATTATGATGACCATAGTTACTCCGGCCACAATTACTCCAGTCACTACCGCTCGCCACCATCAATCACCAACCCTAATCCCCAACCCTACTTCACAACCCAAACTTTCCCTTTCCATACCAGCCCCTTCCCTAGGCTCACAACCCCTCCTCTGCCTCAGTCCCTCCACTGACAACTACCACGGGTGACTATGAAAGTGCCTGCACCCACTGAAGCCTCAATCACTACCCCAAATCCAGCCCCTTGACCTTCCCTCTCTACTGTCCAACCCCTTCCTTTGAGCTCCAGACATAGTCTTAATCGCCGGATTGTGAGAACACTGATAGGATTGCGGCTGTCTGGGTAACCTTGGAATCCTTGCAGTTGAAATTGGTCCAACCACTAGCCGTCGTAGGAGCAGATTCAGAGGCTGCTGAAAATATCTTTCGCTATCGTGAGCCTTCCCCAAATGCCTAATCAACGACTTCACCATCGCAGGGTTTTGCCTAGGTCTAAGGAGCTGTTGCCGAGTTTGAAAAGTTTCGTTGACGAGAAGAAGGAGAAGAAGAGAAGTTAGATATAAACTCAAAGAGAATGCTTTATGTTTCTGAACATGCTTTTACAAGGGATGATGAAGCTATATGTACAGCAATAATAAAACTGACTAAGCTAAACTGATAAGTTGAGAAACTGATCCCATAAGATCAGGGCAAATATGTTGACTTAGCCAAAAGTGTAAACTGCCTGCTATTCGGTTATTACCCCCCGGCAAGCTCAAGGGCAGGTTGAACGTAGAGCTTGGAACGAAGTTGAATAAACCGATCTTTACTCAATGACTTTGTGAATATGTCAGCAACCTGATCCACGGAAGAAACATGGTTGATGTGTAGAGTACCGGCTTCTAGCTGCTCCCTTACAAAATGAAAATCAAGGGCAATGTGTTTGGAGCGTGAGCTAATGACTGGATTCCGGGACAAGAAAGTGGCTCCTATATAATCACAGAGAAGTGTAGGAGGCTGCTTGATTGGATCATGAAGGTCACATAGGAGCTGTTGAATCCATAGAAGTTCAGCGGAAGTGTATGCAAGAGCACGATACTCCGCTTCAGTACTAGAGCGGGCCACCACACGCTGTTTTCGAGAAGTCCAACTTATCAGATTTGGGCCATGAAATACAGCAAACCCATATTGTGATCTACTGTCATCCTTATCAGAAACCCATCTAGCATCGGAATAAGCAAAAAGAGACAAGGCCTTGGTTGGTTTAAAATGCAGGCAGTAATGCATAGTTCCATTTAAGTAACACAGAATTCTTTTAACAGCTTGCCAATGTGATATGGTAGGTGCATGCATGTATTGACACACCCTATTAACCGCATAAGCAATGTCGGGACGAGTGATAGTTGCATACTGAAGAGAGCAACCACCTGCCTATATAGCTTAGGATCAGAAAAGGGTTCTCCATCAAGTTAGAGGGAGGCAGACGAATCTGAAGGTGTTGACAGGGGCTTGGAATCAATCATCTTGCTACGGACCAGAATGTCCTGAATGTACCCGTGCTGAGATAGCGTAAGGCTACTGGCCGTGCGAACAATTTGTATGCCGAGAAAATAATTTAGGTCACCAATATCTTTGAGAGCAAAATTTTGATGTAGATTAGTGATAAATCGTTGTAGAAGCTGAGGATTGTCTCCTGTGATGATCAGGTCATCGACATACACTAAAATATACATGGTGGTAATGGCAGACGAGTGAACAAAAAGCGATGTATAAGACTGACAGGCACGAAAACCATGAGCGATAAGGTGAGTTTTCAGCTTTGTAAACCATGCCCGGGGGGCTTGTTTGAGGCCATAAAGTGCCTTATGTAATCGACAAACATGATGTGGATGATTAGGGTCTTCAAATCTTGGGGGCTGTGACATGTAAACCTCCTCCGTCAAGTCACCATTCAAGAAAGCATTATTGATGTCGAGTTGCCGGATCTGCCAGCCATGAGATAGAGCAATGGATAAAACCAATCGAATAGTAGTCGGCTTAATAACGGGACTGAAAGTTTCAAAGAAATCAACCCCTTCTTCCTGATTGAATCCTTTTGCCACCAAACGTGCCTTGTACCGCTCAATAGACCCATCCGAGTGCCGCTTAATCCTGAAAATCCACTTACAACCAATGATATTAACATTACAAGGACGAGAAACAAGAGACCAAGTGTTATTCCTCATTAAAGCATCAAATTCCGTGCGCATTTCATTTGATCAACAAGTGCATTTAAGGGTCTGGGAAACCGTCTTGGGCTTAATGGTTTGATGGGAGTCAACAGAAGTATGGAAGGTTTTGGGTTTAAGGGAGTTGGTTCTGGCACGAGTTATCATAGGATGCTGAGTATTGCTGGCAGGTCGGTAATAATGTGGTATGGACTGTTTGGCTTGAGAACTGAGAGTATAGCGTCGGTGAGAGGGACCAAGAGAGGGTGGAGATGGTTCTGGCTTAGAGGGTGAGGAAGGTGTGTGGGGAGAGGGTGGGGAAGGCTCTGACAGTAAGGGACTCAATGGTGAGGCTGTGATTGTGTGTGAGGCTTGAGCAAGAATGTCAGGACAAGCTGGTTCAGGGAAGTTAGCCGGGGGCAGTTGACTTGGTACTGGGATTTGAGTAGCAAACGGGAAAACTTCTTCATTGAAGACAACATGACGGGATATATATATACGAGACGTGGATGGATGCAAGCACAAATACCCTTTGTGGGAAGCACTGTACCCGATAAACACACATGGAAGAGATCGAAAATCCATTTTGTGACCATTGTAAGGACGAAGAAAAGGGTAACATAAGCAACCGAAGGACCGTAAAAAAGCATAATCAGGATCCCGGTTGTAAAGTTTTGAATAAGGGGAACAGTAATTCAAGATGGGTGTTATGGTGCGATTGTGAAGGTAGGTAGCAGTCTTGAACGCATGCTCCCAAAATTCTTGTGGAAGAGATGATTGAGCGAGGAGAGTTAAACCTTTTTCAACAATTATTCTATTGCGGCGTTCAACGGCGCCATTTTGTTCGGGAGTGTACGGACAGGAGAGTCGATGATGTATGCCATACGTTTGTAAAAGTGTGGATACATTACGAAACTCTCCTCCCCAATCAGTTTGAAGGTTTTTAATATCATAATCAAATTGTGTTTTAATCATGGTGCGAAAACGCATAAAAGTCTGAAGAACCTCAGATTTGTGGGATAAGAAATAAATCCATATGAATTTTGTAAAATCAGCAACAAACAAAACAAAGTAACGATGTCCATTGATAGAAGATACAGGAGATGGTCCCCAAACATCAGAATACAACAATTCAAAAGGTTTATTCGACGAAACATGAGAATGAGACAAATGAAATATGTGACTTTTTCCTAACTGACATGACTCACAGACACGGGACAACTGCATGTTCGATATAGGTAGGCCAAAAGTGGAAACAAGACGTCGAAGGATGGATTCATGAGGATGTGCAAGGCGGTAGTGCCAGCCAGTTAACGTTGTCCGAACACCAGAAAGAGCCATGTGGGGTGAGCCTTTATTTGCAGGAGAAGGAAGGCGGTAGAGGCCATTATCAACGCGGCCGTGAAGGAGTGGTTTGCCCTGAAAAGTCTTAATAACACAATGATTAGGCCAGAATTCCATGTAGACGTTATTGTCACTAGTGAGTTTAGAAACACTCAGTAGGTTCTTGGTCAATTCAGGGACAATAAATACATTAGGTAAATGTAATGAAGACATAGATGTTGAGCCAGTATGAGAAATAGACAAATGGTTACCATTCTCGACTTGCAACTTGTCATCACCAGTGTAAGGGGTGGAAATATTTAATTTTCCAATATCAGGAGAGACATGATTGGTAGCTTCAGTGTCGAAGTACCAGGCTGGATCAGTGATGGTTGATGGGCTGCAGTAGGTAGTGAAGTTGGCCCGTTTGGTTTGATCACGAGGGTTAGGACGACGGGATGGATATGCAGTCTGATTGGAACGTTGCCAACAATCAATGGCTTCATGTCCAGGCTTGGTGCAAATCTGGCAATAAACACGTCGACGACGTGCATCAGAACCTCAAGAATTATTGGAGTAGTTGCCTTCGTGGGTGTAGGAGGAATGAGCAGGTCTGTTGGGAGTGCGAGAGGCAGAATGAGCCACATGAGAGTGGTGAAGCGGAGTAGGAGTTGGTGCTGGATGAAGTTGAGTAGGCGTTGGTGCTGGAGGAAGTTGAGCCACAGCCTGACGAGTGAGTTCATGCTCCAGGTTAGCTTCTTCTTGGAGCAGGAGGCCAACAAGATCATCAACACATGCACCATCGGAGTGGAGCATGAATGCAGACTTAAAAGAGGCATAAGAGGAGTCCATACCATGGAGAATGTAGCCAATGAGATCCTCATTAGAGACAGGATGAAGATTTTCTGCCAAGGAATCAGCAATGGCTCGCTTACGCTCAATATAATCCATCATAGACAGTCCTCCTTTAGAGAGGGTTTGGAGTTGGGTTTTCATGGCCATACGACGTGCACGAGTTTGTGCGTGAAAAGTGCGTTCAATGGTCTGCCAGGCTGCTTGAGAGGTGGAGCAGCGAGCAACAATGGCAAGGGCACGTTCAGATAGGGTAGATTTGATCCACAGGAGAACAAAACGATCCCGCTTTTTCCAAGTAGCGAATTCGGGATTGGGATTGATACTGACAGTGCCATCTTCAGCGGTGTCTGAGATGAGTTCCGGAGGTGGATAAGGGTCGAGAATGAAGCTTTCAAGATCAAATGTTTCAAGGGCAGAGATAATTGTGGTGCGCCAGAGGGAATAATTATCTCGATCAAGTTTAATACTGATGGTTGGGATTTGAAAGTGGATATTATTTGATGCAGAATTGGCTGCAGTAAGAAGATGTGGAATAGCCATGGTAGTAAGGTAGCAACCAGGGGGAAAAAATCAAGGCTCCGATACCATATAAACTCAAAGAGAATGCTTTATGTTTCTGAACATGCTTTTACAAAGGATGATGAAGCTATATATACAGCAATAATAAAACTGACTAAGCTAAACTAACTCCTAAATATCAGGCACTATCTCTACATGATAAGTTGAGAAACTGATCCCATAAGATCAGGGCAAATATATTGACTTAGCCAAAAGTGTAAACTGCCTGCTATTCGGTTATAATTAAGGAGAGACTCACCTGTTTGGCGGCGGCGGTGGTAGATGACAGAAGCAGTGGCGGAGGAGTGAGGGGAGTTGCCAGTCGGAGAAGAAGGAGAAACGTTAAAGTAAAGGGGAGGGCTGGAGAAGAGTTAATACTTAGGTCATTTTAATTCTAAAATAGTCACTTTTTTGTCTAAACGAAAATTGATCATATTTCATAGCTAATATTTTTGTCATTCTTTCATTAAAAAATTGGATGAATCAAATCATAATATGGATGTTGATACTTGATGGAGTTTAATCCAACTACGACAGCTATATGTTTACGAGATTTGGGCAGCGTAAGACAGTATTATTAATCAGGAATCCAGTCCCTTGATAGGAAATATACATGAAGTATTTATAGACCTTAGGAACAAGTGTTCTGGGAGGAAACTGATACAATAAATGCTCATTAATCAAAATAGACTCATGTAACGCCTTGGACGTTGTGCAATGATTATCTCCTTTAGGTCTACGTTTCTTTCGTTTGTTTGTGCCTGCTGCCAGATAGCTATACTTGAACGATAGTCTACTACGTAAGCCCTAAGGAAAGTCCGACCTCACTAGAACTTCGGACCTCTGAGACCTGCTGTCCAGCCTGACCTGGTGGTGAGTTTTTTTCGTGGGTCTGATTCCTAATTAGGCCCATTGGCTAAATAATATTAATCCTGTTTATGGGCTGATCCCATTGAGGGCTTGATCCCGTTAAGGGCTAATCTCGTTGAAGATTTGATCCCGTTTATGGGCTAATCCCGTTCAGGGCTTTTAATCATAAGATAATTCTAAATGCAACCTCTGTTTTGCTAAACACAGCCCGCTATTAATAAAATATAAATAACATACCTATTGTTGTTCCCAACATCATCTTATTGCCGTCTTTGAGGGCTCTCATATAACCATTCCAAGTGGCCATTCAAGTAGTGATTGAAGGTGAAAGTCTTTCCAAACTATGGTATGTTAATTCCATTTCTAAAAAAACCACCAAGTAACCGATGCTTTATTAGAAGGAAGAAACAATATATCTGGCTCACTTGGTTGGATGCGCAAGAATAAAAAAAATTAACAGAGCAATACAGAGCACGTTACTGTAATTTCACGTCTCCCTAGCTCCATTCCATGGCCGCCGCTGCCGCCCCAACCTTTGCAACCACCTTCGCGGTGACCACCTCCTCCGCCTCCTTCATGATGTCCACTACCGTAACCTCCACTTCTTCAGCGCCCACCTCCTCCCTTCCTCCTCTGGATTGAGACTCGTCCAAGGAGTTATTTTCCGATCACGGAAGATAAATACTCCGTATATTGTTTCAATCTTACGAGGTGAGTATAAAATAAAGTGAGATCTGCACTTGATGTCCTCTTGAATATGATGGGATGAACGAGTGGTGGGAGGTTGGTTCTTCGTATGGGTTGATTTAATTGAAAGGGTAATATTGACATTTTAAAAAAATTACTTACGTTGGGGGTTGTGAATAATAAAATGGGAAAATTTCACAAATAAGCAAAATTAAGAAAATAATATCATTTTTGTCTAGGCAAGATTCGGTTTTCACAAATAAGCTACCTAAGCTTTTTATTTCAAAAATATCACCTATATAAACTACCAAAATTAGAAACTCAGAGCTCGACCACCAAAATTAGAAACCCAGAGCTCAATATCGTTCGAAGATGGCTACCTTCCTCTGCGCGCGGAAATCCTCTGCGAAGTAGTTTCCGATTAGTAATGTTCAATCGAAGCTATCTACCACATCAAAATATCGATCTCAATCTTCCAAACGAAGATTGAATCGATCAGCTGTGAAGACTCTACAGCAAATCAAGTATCGTTTTCATAAAATTTGATCAATCATCGAGGTCAGATAATTACAATTCCATATTTCGTTCAGTGTTGAATGTAATTTTGTTGCGTTTGTTGATAAAGTGATGATGTTAAATAAGTATGTTTCTGCGTATCGCACTACTATGTTGATCATGATTCTCGTTGATCGTTAATATTAAATAAGTCTGTGTTTCTGGATATCAACATACTTTGTAGATGAATTGATTATTAAATATAGAATGATATTTGTTGTGAATAACAGGAAACATGGAAACAATACCTGTTTTTGTTCATCACGGTGGTTTTTGGAATGAAGTCATGGAATATGTAAACTTCTGTGTTTTTGGAATTACTTTGGCTACAAACAACTCTTTTGCTGATTTGATTTAAAAGGTAGCAGATAGGATTGGAATACAAACAACATCAACCTCATTAATAGTTCAATACAAAGTGAGAGACAATTATCCACCACTAATGATACAAGATAACTCAGCTCTGTTGTTTTATTTGCATCTGAAGAAACAAGATACAGATGTGACGAAGTTCCCTCTATGCATCACCACTGCTGGTGTACAAGAAGAAACAAATTGCAACATGTTTCTTGTTGGAAATAAACAAGTGGAAACAACATCTGGGATACAAGAAGGAACACTGTCTGAAGAAAGCTCAACGATTAGTGAAGAGATAGACATTAATGCTTTTATATTAGCATGGGCAAATAAAACAACTGATGAACTGCTACAAGATAAATTTGTGGAGTCAGAAGCAACAAAGTGCAACAACAGTGATGTAGCCCCTGAAGTAGGACTGATATACAAGAACCGTGCTGAGTTCAAGAAAGCACTGAAGTTGAATGCTATAAAAAATCACTTCCAGTACATGACTGAAAAGTCAAATAAGATTTGTTTTGTGGCTAAGTGTTTGGATGAAAATTGCAGTTGGGAGATAAAAGCAAAACAAATTGGAACAATGGGAAGGTTTAAAGTTGTGAAGCTTGTAAATACACATTCCTGCAGATTAGAAGTAAGATTAGCAGATCAAAGGCATGCAACATCAAGTTTGGTAGCAGAATGCATTCAATCTAAGCTATTGGATCCAAAGGCGCAATATAATGCAACCGATGTAAAGAGGGACATGCTACAGGAATATGGTGTTGAAATCAGTTACTTAAAAGCATGGAGAGCAAAAGAAAAAGCACTAAATAAACTCAGAGGAAAACCAGAAGAATCATATGGCTTTCTGCCACGGTTCTTGAATATTGTGAAACAAACAAATCCTGGATCATTTGTGCAACTTAAAATTAATGAAGACAACACATTCTTGTATGTCTTCATGGCTATTGAAGCATCAATTAAGGGCTGGGAATTTTGCAGACCAGTTATTGTAGTTGACGGGACATTTTTGACTGGGAGGTATGGCGGAACACTGTTAACCGCATCAACACAAGATGCTTGTGGAAAAATATTCCCTATTGCATTTTCTGTAGTTGACTCTGAGAATGATGAATCTTGGAAATGGTTTTTCAGAAATATTAAAGAAGCTTTGGTTTATAGAAGTGGAATGGTGATTGTTTCTGATAGACATGAGAGTATTGCAAAAGCTGTTTTAGAAGTGTATCCAGAATCTGGGCATGGGGTATGCATATACCATCTATTCAACAACCTCAAGACAAAGTTCAAAAGAAAAACAAAGAAAATGAAAGATAGTTTTTTTGAAGCTGCACAAGCATATACCAAAGATGACTTTGATTGGCACATTGAGGAACTGAAGAAACTGGATGAGGGGATAGTACCATATTTATACTCAGTTGGGTATGAAAAATGGACTAGAGTTTTCTCAACATCAAAAAGATACTCAACAATGACTTCAAATATAGCCGAATCCTTGAATGCCGCATTGAAAAAGATAAAAAATCTGCCAATAACTGCGTTGCTACAGTTCTTGCATGCATTGGTACAAATATGGACACATATGAACAGAAATATTGCAAGAAACACATTTACCAAACTTGCAAAAGTTCCACATGAAACACTAGAGCAAAACTACCTCAAATGCATGAAGCTAAAGGTATATAGTGCTTAAATTATATGAAGTTAAATTTTATTAAAAACTGTGAATATAACAGTTTGAATTGCAGGTGATTCCTTCTAGTGAAGCAATATTTACTGTTTCTGAAATGAACACAAGCTTTATTGTTAACTTAGAGGAGAAGAATTGCACTTGTAGAAGATTCCAAGTTGATGAATTGCCATGTATTCATGCACTGGCAGTACTCAAAAAGATGAATCAAGAGCCATACAAATTTTGCTCATCTTACTACTTAAAGGACACGATGCAACAAACATATCAACGGACTGTGCATCCAATTCCAGATCAGGGGACATGGCCAATGAATACTTGCGATCAAATGAAAATCTATCCCCCACATGGAAGGAAAAAGTCTGGAAGGCCAAAGAAGCAGAGGTACAAGGCACACTGGGAGAGTACAAGTACACACAAATGTGGGAAGTGTGGAAACCAAGGGCACAACAGAAAGACATGTAGGAATGCACCACAACAGTAGAAAGTTTCTATAATGTAGTTTCTATAATATAATTGTTTTACAAAATCTCTCAATTGCTACTGTTCAAACTCAATTTAATATAAATATGCATTCATATTGTTAGTGTCCATTCTGTATAAGTTTTATTTATATTCTGTGACGAAAAGTTCTATTATGGGATTAAATACGAAAGCAGAAACAATAAACAACAAGAATAAACAAGTAAAAAACAACTGCTATTTTTGATAAACAAAAAGAAATGAAAAGAAACAATAGAAGAAACAATTTTTTCTAAAGAATAAACAGGCACAAACACAGTAAGGAAACAAAGTGTAGAAACATGAAGGTAGTAATGTAATTACTTAAGGAAGACATTCAGAAAACAATGACATAAACATAAGATATAAAATAAGACATAGAAACAAACAGAAACAACAGAAACAAATATAAACAATGAAAACCACTAACAGAAACAAACAGAAACAACACAAAAACATATGACACGGAACAATAATATCTTTTCAAAACAACTGTGTAACAACAGTAAACAGTACAACTGTATCACAAAAGTAAAACAGTATGTTTCCAAAAGAACAAGTTCATATTTGGTTTTTACATTACAAGATCACAAAAACAAAAGTACATTAATTCTTGCTACATCTATTTAATTAACTTCTTCAGCTTCTTCCTCCTGGGTTTGATTTCTTCAGCATCACTCTGGACTTCACCACTTATTTTGGACAATCCATATTGGTAGAGAAAGTAGGAAAGTCTGGTCCTGTAAAGCTCAATATCCAAAAATTCAAGAACCGCTATGCCATCGATGAAATACTCAGCAAAAGCAGCAACAAAAGCACCACAGTCACTATAAAAAGTACAATAAAAAACAATATTGTCAATGGTAGAAACATAAACAAAATATTAAAAAAAATATAATTAAATAAATGAAGTTACCATGATTCTTGGACAGGCAAGTCAAGCACAAATTTCATCTCTATATCCCTGTGAATATCCAATCCATACCTAGAGAAGTGATCCATATGTCGAAAAAACAATGGAAGCATCACAAGTAGTGGTTGAACAACTTCTTTAGCAAGAGATGCATCCCTTGGACTGTTCATTGAATTATAAACATAAATGCACCAATCTTTGATGCAAAACCTAGCAAGAATCCAATGCATCTGTTTCTTAATATACAATGGCATGAGAACATGTTCAACTTTATCCCAAGGCTTAGAATAGGGCAACTGCAAGCCTACAATACAATCACATATACTTGCAAATTTTGACCAAGAAAAGGATTTATCCAAGGTTGCAGCATATGCTTTTTGTATATTGACTTGAAAAAGAACATCAGTTGTTGTGAAACTGCATTTGCATATCTTAGTAACTTCGGCTTTTTTCCTAAAATAATGAAAGATCACATCGATATGCTGCAAGAAAAGGGAAAAAATAGAAAAAATAATAATAAATAAACAAATATAAACAAATATCAACAAATATAAATAATATATTAAAAAAGTAAATAAGCATACAGAATCTGATATCATTTGACCAATGTAGTGAAGACTATGGAACCATGTCTTAGATTCCACAAAAGCAACAGTAAAGTCAAATCCAGGACTGAGATGATCAATTTTCTCAGGATACATTAACTTTGATCTACAAAATAATAAAAACTTAAGTTAAAAACAAAGATATAAGAAAATCTATAATATATAATGATAATTTTAAACAGACCTCTTCCGCTTATACGCTTTTTCATCGATCCAAATATTAAAAGCCGAAAGAACATCATATGCTGGGACACAGATTGCTTCATTGACAAAAGGACATGGAACCAGGGCAACGGAAGACTGTGGAGACTCACATCCTGAAGTAAACTCACCAACAAAAGGAGATTTGACAAAAACACTAGGCTTAACACTCCTTTTATGCTTAACATTGGATTCATCGGTATGAACAACTGATATAGGTGTAATAAAAGGAACTAAAGCCATCGTAGGATTTGTAGAACACGAAGCAGGATCTGTGCTAGACAACTACAAAAATAAAAGTGAATATTAAAACAAAAATAAAATGAGAAAAAAAGCTAAAGAAAAATGAAAATAAATTCATTACCTTGGCACTCTTAAAATGTGAAACAAGGGAATCCAGTTCAGCATAAAAAGATTCATCATTAACACAATCATCACAGGGAGAAACTGGTTGTTGATCAATTGGTTGATTCTCAACAGTCATCATATCAATTACAGTAGAAAAAACCATCTTTTGGCAATGCTCCAAGAACATAGAATCAAGTTCACAATGCTGCATATCAGTAACACTAGATAAAACAAGATTATGAACGTAGTCCATCAGCACAGAATCATGCTCATTTGACATAGAAGTTGTAACAGTTGAAAAAACTAGAGTGTTGATGAAATTGAATAAGACATCAGAATCTTCAGATGAAACAACAGCTGCAACACTATCAGACACCAACTCCTGTAAAAAAATATATACTTCATAAACTAGTAATGACAAAAACCTTAAACCAAGGAAGGAAACAAAATAAAACAATGTAAAACATAATGCAACATATGAAAACCAAACCTGTTTATTATCTATGGCATTCACACAAGGATCAGTAGAAAATATTGGATCATGTAAGAGACCACACTCAAGACCAACATGAACAAAGTCATCAGTAGCAACAAAGTGAGACTCAATCTCATTAAGAGAAAGAACAATTGTAGCATCATCTTCAGAAACATTGTTTTCAGAAACTGGAGTTTGTCTACAAGGAGTTTGGTGTGAGGATACAAAACCTGAAACTGGCTGCTTGGAAGAGTGAAATTGATTAAGTGTTATAACACGATCAAGCTTATGTTCTAAAACAGTAAACTTTCCCTGAACAAATTCCTTGAAATCTGCAAGTTTACTATCTAGACGTTTTTCAAAGTCAAATAAATCAGAGCTTGATACAGCATTGCCAGAAAAAACATGAGGCAACTCCCCAGCATTTGAAGTAGAAGGAACACTTTGGGGCCTTAAGATATTAGCAGCAAACAAAGCATCCAATTCAGGGTATTTTTTTTCAACATCAGAAAGAACAAGATTGTGTAACTTCAACTGCATAATAGAAAAACAAAAGACAAAATGTTGAAAATCAAATAAAATATTAATAAAAAAACATAAAACAAGGAAAACAAGTTTTTAAAAAATACCTGAGAAGCAGATAAACAAAGAAGTTCCATATTCAATTTCTTGAATGTGAGAGGAATAGATGAGTGCCAAGACAGTATACGGGGAAGTAGAGAACCCGATCTTGAAGCAAAAACGCCATCACAGTAATCACAACATTCATAAAACCACACCTGAAGTGCTAAAGGAAATCCCAGAATACGGTAAAAGAAATAATCACTTTTTATCGTATCCGCTCTCACAAGTCTGCCCTTCAAATTTTGTAAAGTTATATCAAAAAGGTCCTTCCCCCAAGGGTACAAATCCCACAAACCAGCATTCACAACAGCAACATAAGTTTCACTAATAAACTTTTCCTTAGGCGAAGTAAACAAGAACAAACCAATAACATATAGAATGGCAATTTTCACAGCATCTTCATCACAATCCGCATGTTGACCAAGAAAACAAGCTGCAATTGCTTCACGACTAACTTTAGCACAGTTGTTGAAATATTTTTTGGTGAGGTCATTGGTGTCTAATGAAGTAAGAGTAGACTCATCAAATTGACCAGAACACTTTAAACCAGTAACAACAGCAAATTCAGCAATGGAGAACCGCAAACGAAAACCAGAAACTTCAAACCACATCTCATTTGGAAGACTGTGACTAAGTTCTCTTAAAAGCAAACAATGAACAACTTGAGGCTGAAATTTAAGGTCTTGAAAATCTAGGAATTTGCCAAAGCAGGTTTCCCTAAATAAACTCAATTGAACGTCAGTCAATTTCGCCTTCAAATTAGATGCAATGCAATCTTTGTTATAGCTAGAAACCCTACTGTTAAACCAGGATTCACATGGAACAAAATACTCCCATTCCTGAATTAAAAAAAACAAAAAAAAAACAAAATGAAATCAACAAATTGAAATAAAAACAAAGTGAAACAAATGAAACAACAAATTACATACACAAATGCAAACAATAATGTAAATATACCAACACGGTAAGTAATTACCTTAAATCCGCCAGGTTTGATTTTAATTTTCCTCTTATTGACGGAGATCTTAGACTTCTTCCCTTTTGCATTAGCAGAAACTTTAGCCCTCTTCTTCACAGGCTTAGAAGCATTTTCGTTTTTTCTCTTCTTCCCAGCGAGATTCGAACTTCTACTTCCAGAAGCGGAATAGGAAGAACTCTGAGCCTCAGAATTACTTCCCTTATTACGACATGCAACAGACGCCCTGGTAGTACGACGAGGAGTATTGTCGTTTTTCCTCTTCTTCCCAACGACATCAGAACTTGTACCAGAAGGGGAGTGCGAAGAACTGTTAGCCTCAGATTCACTTCCATTAAAGTCAGAATCACTTCCTTTAGCATCAGAATCACTTCCTTTATTCAATGCTACAGACGCTCTGGTAGTACGACGAGGATTTAAGCTTGACATAGTTCTGAAAAACGATAAACACTGATAATGCAGAGGATGAAGAAAAGAGAAGAAGAAATTCAAGGAGATGATGGAAGAAGAAGTCGAAGCAAAGAAGGAAACCGCGAAAGAGAAAAATGAAGTGCGACGGAAGGGAACGTTGTAGAACGTGTAGAAGGTTGGATCGATATTGGCGGAAACCGTCTATAACTGAAATAAAAAAACAAAACTGAAAAGATAAAAGTTTAAATCTGAAAACAAAAAGTGGTTGAGACATTAATGATATACGGGCCACTAAAGTAGCCCAAAGGGGTAATTTCCACTAATAAAATATGGGCTGCAAAAAGAATCTCCCTTAATCATCATAAATTAGTATTTGGATCATGGCTGTAGTCCATGATACCATCAGTACTAAAGGAGGGTAGCCAATAATACAACCAAATCATATTATCCTAAATACTTGTAGTTTTTATCTTAATTTGTACATTATAATAAATAACGTAATGTAATTAATTTTATTTACCAAATGAAAACATAGTTCCGTTTTGAATTTCTACAATTTCTATTTCTTTTTAAATTCGTTTGGTTTAATATTTCAATTCCAATTTCAGACTTAAATAAAATAATTTCCATCTTATAAAAATATAAAATTCAGTTGCATTTTCTAGAAAAACAATTCCAAACCGTCTTTAATTGATTTTTTTTAAATTTTATTTACTTCATTATTCTCAAAAACTACAACATATTAACCCATAACAAACTACTCATGACTCAAGAAATCAATAAATCTATTTGATATTCTTTATTTATAATAACCTACTCATATTGTCCAATGGGTAGGACCGAAAACAGAGGTGGGCCGTGGGCATTAGAAGTTCAAACCTAAACTTTACCACTATGGCTTAACTTAAATTCCTTGAATTTCTCAAGATCGAACACCTTCCGGCTTCTTGAAAAGTTTACGGCTTTGTTTGCAAACAATTAATTTAAGTGTTTTTGGTTTTTTTTTTTAAAAATACTTATTTTACCAAACAATATCAACTTTTACTTTCTCGGTTTTCGTGTAGAATCTACTTTTTACTTTTTCTATTACACAAAAGACACTTATTTTATCAAATACTACTAACTTTTAGTACTAATCATTTTTTCCCAAAAAGTGATTTTATTTAAGCACAATCAATTGCAAATAGAGCCTACATAGGCTGCCGGTTGCAATCTTTATTTTAGACGTTACACATATAGTCATAAAAATATTCGTAAGATCAAGAATCAAATGAATAAAAAACACCATATTAAAAACAAAGCATATTCAAAGTACCCCAACATATGGGTGGGCAAAAATACAGGAAAATCGGTATACCACACTTGAAATAAATAAATATTTTTTAAAGGGTTAAATTATATTTTTTTTATGTATTCAGTATTGGTGTCATATGAAATCTAATAAAAAATTATGAATTTTGATATAAATTTTATAACAATTAGAGTACAAATAAAAAAGTTATACCATTTTAAAATAAACGGTAATTTTTAATTTTGGTGGGGGTCCCTTATCTCATTTTGAGCTCCTCTTGTTGATGATAAAATCCGTAACTTTAAGTAATTTACGGAGTAATAATTATGTTGAGAGAAATGCTACGTGTACACATTTTGTGTACACCTTTGTCACACCCTATAATAGAGCTCCCATTTTTACCATTTTTTACCCTTAACATCTCTCTCGTTTTTTTTTACCCCGGAAAGCAAACCACATATCGCGTGGGGCAAATGCCGGGGGGTCATTTTCTGTTATTTAATTAAGGGAATTTGATTACAATAGGAGAGGGGGACCAAACCAAAACCTCCCTAGAGAAAAGGAAACAGGTAAAAATCAGAAATTGGGGGACCAAATCTAACCCAATAGAACAAAAAATGAATGAGTACAAATAGAAAAAATGCCAAATAAATCCATCATATAGGCCCTTTTGGCAGGAGCATTTGGGCTTACAAAATTATGAAATGGGATGCCTGGCTAAGTAATGCGCGGCCCAATTGGCGTCTGGGGATATGACGAAAGGAAATACCTTCCCTATTTGCAATGTGTAGACATTCCTGAATCGGTGCACGCCATCTTCTTCCTCAAGATAACGAACTGCAGTTGGTCTCGACATGAAAATTATCATAACCTTCTCTCACCGCCCAACTTAGAGCATAATAGATGGCGATAATCTCAGCCTCAAGAGAAGATGAAGCCACAATGTCGAAGTTGGATGCCTGAACAATTAAGTTCTCCTTGCTGTTTCGAAGAATAGCACCTCCTGCCGCAGTCTCAGATAAGTATTGAGCATCAATATTCAATTTTATACCCTACTTAGGTTTACTCCACTTAATCACCTTGAGATTGCATCCCCTTCTTCTGAAATCTGGCCGAATGAGCTTCTCGGTATCCAAGATATTATCTACTGAACGAATGAGCTTCTTGGGGTTGCATCCTCTCGTTTCTCTCCTCTCTTTAGCGACTCTTTCTCTGCTTTATTTTTTTCGTTTCTTCTCAGTGCTCGGACGAACGGAGTCATCGCAATTTTCACCGGCTTCAAATACGCTCCTCTCCCTTTCTTTTCCCTTGTTTTCTTTCTTCTACACCACTTCTATCAAATACATCCCTTTTTTCTTTCATCCTTTGATATCCTTACAATTCTCCTCTACCAGAAAAGCCCATGAATGGCGTGAAGTTCCTCCAAAGACCAATAGAAGAAAAGTCTCACTATTCAGTTCCTCACTCACTTTTAAGGTGATTTTAGGGTTTTAAATATCTACATGTTTTAATTTGAAAACGAAAAGATTTTTCTCTTTTTCTGTTAATACGAATTAGTTTCAATAGGTTTTATTTTTTCTGAATTTATGCTTTCTTTGTGAATTAATGTTTAGGTTTGACTATTATAATTGGTTAAATTCACACTAATAATCCGTACTTTTATCGATTCAACAAGAATAATCCGTACCGAGTAAATGTATAGAAATAATCCAAACAAGTAAACATATTCACAAAAACAGATTCATAATACGAAGATAACGGTCGGGTTACGCTTCATCTCTCCTCCCACGTTAGTAATTGACGAGGGTCTATAAACATAACTAATTTTGCATCTTTTTGATAAATAAAATCAACTAGGCAAATCTGGATTTCACATAAAACAATTCTGAATTGAAATCACTTTAATCCTAAATTCCTAATACTTATTTAAAATCCATTTAATGAGAACGTACGCTCAAGAGATTACTTGCGAAATTCTTCTAAACACTTTCAAACTGTTCTTGTGGGCTATTTATAATATGAGATATCTCCACCACCTCTTGACTATTTCATTTCAGTTGTGTATGGTCATTCGATAGAGGGATAGAGGGAATTAAGTTGGGATAGAGGGAAGGATTGTGCAAGGACAAAGATACAAGAAAACTATTTGGATATGTATTCTGATGATGGATTCCATGCTCAGTTTTCTACTATAAAACTCCGAATGTTGATGATTTCGAAGAAGAGCTGTACGTATAGATTTAGGGTTTGCATAACAAATTAAAAATAGGGGTAAATCAGTAAATGTTTATAATATAGCAGATGGAGTGATGGATATGATAAAAAGCTCTACAAAAATTGAAACGCTAAAGATAAAATAGAAATGAAGATGGTGGATTAGAGAAGATTTTTTTTGGCTTGGATGAAGAAGCTACTACGCATACATACAGCCATTCAGGGAGTCAGGGAGATGAAGAGATAACGGAGATTATAACAGAGCCGTTAGTCCCGTAGACTTCCACCTATTTTTGTGAATAGGTTTATGAGTTAAGATTATTTATATCAATTTGCTTAGTACAGATTATTGGTGTAGAACGTGTAAAAGTACAGATTATTTATATGAATTTTGCCATTATAATTTTAGCTATTATACTTATTTATGTTTTCCGATTTTAAGTAAAATTTTACTCCGTATATGTTATGATGTTGAATTCTTGACCACTTTGTTTCATCAATATATGGTTGTGATGTTAATTATTGAAATATTAGTTTAACTATTGTATTTTAGTTTATGCCCATTACATGTTTGTTGAAAAGATTCCATGAATATCTTGTTCACATGTAAGGTTTTTGGGAAGTGCACTTAGTAAATCGCTAATTTTTTTACAGATTCATTGTACCCATTTGATGTTTTGTTAGTGTATAAAGTAACTTTTAAGCAAGAGTATATCTTTGCTTTAAGAATGTTATAACTTATAGTAGTAGTTTTTTTGAAAGGATAACTTATAATGAACAAACAAGTACATATTTTCTTCAAAGTGTTTGAAAGTTAAACATTGTGATACATCTAAAGTTTATGCTCTCATCATTAAAGATTTCCACTCTATTCAAATAATCTCCATGGTCAAGTAAACTCACTCTTTATTGGTGTTATGAGTTTTTATGTATACCTTGTTTAGTTTTATTATTTCAAAATGCAGATAACTCACAACAATATGAGTGTAGAGAATCAGTACAGGTATGTTAGAATGTAGAGAATTAACTGGATAGTGCTGGGAGATGGAGGAGCCTATGTGACACATGAAGAATGTCAAAAGTGGTGATCATGGAAATGGTTTGCTAGTATAACTGGATAGTGCTGGGAGAAAGGTTAATGTACAACATGTTTCAGATGAATCAACTAAAAATCATGTGAAAATGCTATTTGGGACGGACAAAGAAAGGTTGCATTGGACGGTTGAGCATTTTATGTCATTAGTTATGGGCGTTTAATGTGATGTAATGCAAGAATGAGAGATCAAAACACATGATAACCAAATATATAGTTCTTGTAACTAATTACTTTGTAAAGTTAATGGTCTTGTATTTAGATTTAGGTGCATTAAGATTTGCTTTGGTTTTCAATGATGTACTTTATATGTTATGAAATTGAACATGACTTTGATATTATTGAATTTCAAATGTAAGTGTGTCTTATATAGTTCTTTTCTTTTCAAATATGCTTTTGTTTTTTTAACATGTATTGTCATCATCTGGACACTGTCTGTGCTCATGTAGTAGTTGGTTGTGTTAAGGTAGCAATCATACTTAAATAAGTTATATTTTTCTATGCTCAAACAATATGTGTAAGTGCACTGTGTCCCAAATTTAGTTAAAAAAGTTCTTATCATAGACAACTATTGTTTGGATAAAGATAATTATTGTCAGAAGATATAATGTGTGTGCGACATATTTACATTCAGGAACGTGTTTGTAAGCCCAAACATATACAAAATATACGGAGTAATAGTTAACCAAAACAATGTGTCTGACAGAATGAACTGTATGTCTATGAGAAGCAATTGTTTGTTTGGCTACATGAATTGTCTGGGTGACAGAACGTGTTGTCTGTCTGGCAGAACTAATTGTCTGTTTGGTAGCATGAATTGTCTGGATGACAGAAAGCCTTGTCTGTCTGGCAGAAGTAATTGTCTGTCTCGCAGAATGAAATGTTTGTCATACAGACAAATAGGTGGCAAATACAGACATAAAAATGACTTCAATCCTTCATTAGCATAATCACATGTGTACATTCATTTATTTCGCCTTAAGGGCAATTCCACTTAATCCGTTACAAAAGATACACTTCGAGAACACAAGTAGCTCTAAATCTATCGTTGTAAATCCAAAGCTATACAATATAACTAATTACAACAATGAAATATTTAGTTAAAATTTGCTATAAATCTCTCATTCTCGACTTTTGTTATGGAGGCTCATCATCTCCGTCATAAAAAGAGCATATTTTATTTCTGCCAACTGAAATTTCCATTATGACAACCAACACAAGGCTGCAGTAGTACGCTGCAGTAGTCAAATGTGCCTCTTTAGATTCATAAATATCTTCATTCAACAAACTTCCAACATGTATTCTTTGCTATGTCACCGGGGGAAGTGCACTGCAATGATCAAATGTGAAATTCCATAAGAATTTGAATTTCATAACAAGATAACAGATTGCATTATAAAATCTAACAGACAATATTTGTATGTGCCAAACATTTCATATCTGAGTCTGGCAAGAAAAATCTCTCTAATAGGCAATAATTGTTTGTCCCAAACATTTCGTGTCTATCTCTGAAAAAAGAGCTCCAAATGAGGACACAAAGCAAGCCAATTGAATCTTTTTCCTTCCAAAAGGATCAATTCAAGCTAATCCTATTTCTAAGGATGTTTTTTGTTTTGGAAACCATAGACCCTATTCTGATTTGCCCATTGCTAAGAGGAGTTCCCTTGTCAGGTTCTTGGAGAAGAAAAAGGACACAGAAGCATTATTTTTCAATTGAAAGTCTCAACATTGAATTGTAGAAAAAAGTGAACTTCACTCAAATTATGTTGTATTTCAAATGATTCCAACAAAAAAAGGGACAAAGAAAGGTTGCAACCTTTCTTTATACAACCAACAAGTCGAACTTAGCTTCGTACTTTTCATGATTAAAACCAATAAGGAGCCAATTTATAATTCTATTGCTAAAATCCCTAAAGCATAATGCTGATATGAATTTTAATCGATAATCTTATTGAACAACCTCAAAAATGTCTAATCTTTTTTATAGACCAACTAAAGAGTTCTGCTCCAATATTATGAATTTTAATTGGTAATCTTATTGAACAGCCTTAAGATTGGTAATCTTATTGAACAGCCTTAAGATTTAAGAATGAATAATCTCTTTGATATAAATATGAATTTTAATTGGTAATCTTATTGAACAACCTTAAGATTTAAGAATGATTGAATGACTAATCTCTTTGATAGACCCGCGAAGGAGTTCTGCTCTAATATTATGCTTCTCCAACAAACTTTAACAATAAGGTTTAACACCAACAAATGAGTCTTTCTTGATTATTTTACCTAGGTTTAACACTAAAGCTTCAAAAATTAGAATAGTGAATTCACAACAATAAAGTAAATGAATACATATATCTATAACATCACAAACATTTATAAAGTCCAAAAATGCACACCACAAAAGACAGACATGTCAATAGGAATGACATACATCTATCTATAACATCACAAACATTTATAAAGTTCTTACAGACATCTTAGAACAAAGGACAGATAAGGAAATATGAACGACAGACAAATGAATACTATGTTTAGCACGAAACAAGAATATGGTTACATACGTACATGATCCATTTTAATGACATAAATATGGCCCATGGTTGATGCTTGCTAATATTTTTAAGCCTCGGAGTATTCCTGAATTTGATTAGGAGGGTGGACCCCAATATTTTTATGAGATCATAAACATTCGTCTTAAATTGAAACCTTAGAATCATAATGTTTCAAAATCTTAGTATGTTCTTCCTATAATTTTAGTCTCTAATGAAACCTTTATTACAACGGTTTTTACTCAAAATAATGTTTCAAAGTATTGTAACAAGTAAACCCGAGGGGCACGTGTATACATTAGGAACAAAATGGGGGAAACAACTCAAACCATGTATTTGTAACATCACAGACAATTATAACGTCCTTAATTACAGACAACTCAAAACAATTGACAGACAACTTAAAACAAATGACAAACAATTCAAAACAAATGACAAACAAGAAAATATGAAAGACATACATCTATTTAAAACATCACAGACATTTATGAACTCCTTACAGACAATTCAAAACGTGTGACAGACATCTCACAACACATAAACAACATGTCAGACAACTCTTAAATCAGAGAAACAAAATTAGGTCTTGCTTAATTAAATTAAATCAATTATGCTAAGGTGAGTACTACAATGAAAAAATTACCTTTCAGCAAGATCTGTCAAACTACTTCCCACCATAGCTTCAAACTGATTTCCACGTAGCAGCGAGGGGTGGGTTGCGGTCGTTCGTTCTCTGCGCCACACAGGGGTTCAGCATTGGACCAGAGTAAGTCGTTCGTTCTTGGAGCAAACTGATTTCAAAATCAGCGCCACACAGGGGTTCAGCTCTGTCCGGCAAAGGTCAGTTCACTTCGGCGAAGGTCGGTTCTGTCCCCTTCATCTTTTGTCCTTTGCGTTAGTACTGGCCGAACAGGAGTGGGGCGGAAGATTCTGATTTCCGAAGCCTGGAAGTGGAGGGGTGTGTCCGGGAGTGGGGAGGGAGATTTGGATGGGTGAAAGACAAAAGAAAGATGGGGTAAATTTTTGGATTGGGAAGGAAGTAAGATAAAAAAAGGAGAGCCTTTTGTATAGGGTGCTAAAGGTGTAAACAATTTGTGTACACCTAGCAAAATTCTTATGTTGAATAACAATTGTTCACCCGAAATAGAAATTGGGCCTAAAACTTTCGGTGGGTGATTCCATGGTATCTTTGAAATGTTTTATATATAGATATAGATATAGATAGATATAGATATAGATTATAAAAAAAATAAGGAGGTTAGTAGGTCGAAAGTATATGACTCAAATGAAAATGATATTAGGAGATTCCGAGATTAGCTAGAGGAATTAGAGTTTGTAACTAAGAAGGCCTTTTATGAGTTATGACATGACAAAAATCAATTTCTTTTTTATGTCTGATTTTTCGAGTTTTTTTCTGGAATAATGCTAATTAAATAAATAATTCCCAAAACATTGTCGGATTAAAAATAATCCCCAGAATACTGATGAGATTAATCACGGTTAAAAAAAGCCGCCACTCGAAGTGACGGCTCTTCTCTTACTATAAAAAGCCACCACTCCAAGTGGCGGCTCTTGTCTTTAGTAATTACACCACCAGTTTATTCAGCGTGAAAAAAACACAAAAACCTGCTCATTACACTACAGTCAACTAAAAAACATCAAACAACTGCTCTTCATATTGAATATAGGTTGCTAAAAAACAAAACATAGTCGAGACACAACGAATTAATGGAACTACATTT